TGCAGAGGAAAAAACTCCATGACAATGTCCTCCTCCATTTATACAACACATGTCTATATGTCATATGTCTCTCCCTTCTGTGGAAATTGCAGTGCTGGCAGAAAATGGGTCTAATTTAGTTAATTTGCTTCTGATGGGGCTTTCACAAGCTGTATCTATAGCACAGCTAAGCTAACCCAGAAAAGCCGCCAACGTTCGCTGTCATGCTTCAGCTTCTGCCGTGAAGAGATGGCTGCTCTCTCTACACTTACCTCATTGATGCGGTGGCATAACTATCAAGCTGCCTGTCTCTTGGGATCAGCCGTGTCTCCTGGGAATTACATTCTTATACAGCCATTCACTGGCCTACATTAAATGGCAATGTTAACTGCCAGATAAGATGGTGCTCATATGGCCCTGTGGAAAGATATTTTGCTTCAGGCCTGTAAGTCCTGCTTTTTTCCATTCTGCTGCGTCTACTAGGAGGTCATCAGAAGGTCACGCTCTGCTCCTCCACCTATAGACCCTCGTCAGGCTCTTTCCCTCAAAAAGTCTCCCCTCTCACAGATTGTATTTGTGACATGAATGTCATAATTGTATCTGTTAGAGTTTGTTCCACCTGCTCATATCGGTCCGTCTCCATCGTCCAGGACATGTTTAATGTCAAACAACAGCCGGATTGTTCTGGGGAAACTTACCAAATAGTAATATCTAGCCAAACATTCTAGACATATATGTCTAAAATTTAAAGGTCCAGCGTGTAGATTTAGTGGCATCTAGCATTGTTATTTAAGATTGCAACTCCCTCGCTTCACCCGTCCTGGCATGAATGTCAAACTATGGCTCTGCAAATTGTGTAAAAAAACGTGAAAATCCCTTTTTAGAGCCAGTGTTTTGCTTGGACCGTCTACTACTGGGCTACTATAGAAACATGGCGGTTCAAGACAGACTCCATGGAAGGCATCTCGCAGCATCTGTAGATAAAACAAAACCTCTCACCATACACTAATAAAACTATACCTATCAATATTATATTCCATTTCTGCCAATAAAGCCTCCTAAATGTTACACACTGGACCTTTTAATAATAACATTATCTGCTAATAATGAACCCTTGATCGCTGCCCCTTTCAGCCCAGATCTGTAACTGGTTTGGGCATCCTGTAGCTCAAAGGTGATGACTAATTGGACAGTCAAAGAGGTATAACACACATGATGGCTGAAGAAGTTGCACTTGGACCGACAAGCTTTGCACTGACACCTGAATACATCTCTTCCTCTCTTTGTCCAAGCATTAACCTGACTTCACTCAGCTCATCGTCCTATGCCTGTGCTACATGGCAGTGCATTGTGGCCTACTGGGTCTGAGGGAACCAGCGATCTCTGTGATCACTGTGATGCAGTATGTTAAGTTTTAAATATAATCTGAGCAACATTATTTTTGTGCAAATATGTTCGATATGAGGTAAGGCTCCCTGCAAACAGATAACAACAGTGGAGCTATCTACTACTACACTAATTCAAAAATAACTAGGTGTCCAGTAAACAAAAATCCATAGATGAGCAGTTTTTAAAATGAGCATGCAAGAGAATAACAATAAAAACACTCCTGTGTAATCAGCCAAGCACTGCTAAGTCAATTTGGGCAATATTACTCACTGACACTTACCAACAGTTTAGCTGAAGCATCACTTTCTTTAACCTTAAGACTAAAAGTAATCGTAAATAGGTATAATCCAAGTATTTGTATACAGAATCTAGTGTACATTTTCTGCTCTTCCTCTATTCCTTTTTCTCTCCCCAGGTGTTAAAAGCACATCCGCCATCGCTCCGTTCCTCTTTCTAAATCTCTTCCTATCACGGACCAGAGAGTCTCCGTCTGTAAATGTTTTAAACCTTAAGGGAACACATTGTATGCAGCCATCCGTAGCTAATCATCTACTTTCTGAGTGTGACTTTTGGGATAATAGAGCGCTCTTCCGATGCACACATTTTTTTTGCCATTATCAGCTGTGGACAGCAGGGTGGAGGAGGACAGTTCCAGTTTTCTGTGTGTGCGCGTACATGTGTGCCTTTTGTGTAAATAACAGCTGGAAGCCACAACTTTGGACCAAAGGCTAGATGTAATGGAAGCCGCTATCAGCAAACTCAGTGCTGTTTTGATAAGAGCAAGTTCACTGCTTAAGGGAATCTCTCCTACCCTGTCCTTTTCTCTTTTTTCCTGTAGGTTATTCCATTTTTATTCTTTTCTTCATCAACTCTTCTTTCTACCTTTTTTTCCCCCTCCATCTCAGTTTCATTCCTGTCTCTACCTACTGTAAACAGTCTCCATCTGTTCTTCTCTGATACAGCCACTTCACTGATCCCTGTATCAGTGCAATTCAATTGAGTGCAATTTGTTGGCAGGAAATATAAGACAGAAACAATATGGCAAAGTGTGACTAAATCCACTAATTCTCTCTTCCTTTCCCTCGCTCACAATCTTTTTCCACTTGCTTAATTGGTGATCTGTCTCAAACAACTGCGAAACTCACTTCTGTGTTAGTGCCTGGTTTGGTGTGTGTTTGTTTGTGTGTGATCTTGTGGTTGAGGTGAAAGACGGCGGGTAGGAGTGGAGTCTAAACTGCTATCAGAGCCTGTGGGGGAGCTGCAGGCAGAGCTCTTTAACCTGTGATGCCACCACAGGAATATCATCCAGAAAAAAAAGAAAATCAAAGAAGAAAATTTCAAAACAATGTCCACGTAAAGCTTATACACACTTTCTGTATACTGCATGTATGTTTAAATCAAAGTAGTTAAATGCAACACACCTTATACACTTGATTTTGTTCTTATGGGTTTATATATCTCTGTGTGTGTGTGGATTTGCCTCCAGTTTATTGGCTGTGCACTCCCCTTTCCCTTTGGCTACTGTCAGTGTTATCAACTTAAACCTTCAGGCAGGTGTGCGTGCGCGTTCTCCTTCCTCTGCGTTTGTGAGGACCAATTTAAGTTTGAGACGAGGGCAAGGATATTTTTGGAAAGGGATGATATTTGGTCTCCTTCAAAAAAAAAAAGCCTGTTTGGGGGTTAAGGCTTGGGTTTAGTGTCAAGGTAAGAATTAGGAGACGGTTAAAGATATTGGAATGGTTGGGGGTTCGACATGTTGATGGGTTCAGCGGTGGGGGCCTGGGAATGTGCCAAATCCTCATAGGTACAGAAGTGCTTGTGTATCGTCACTTTTTTTTTTTTCTGCATTTGGAACATAAAACTATGAATTTCTAGTCTGGTTAAACATATTCATACCAGGGCAGCTCAGGGCTGTTACTTCTGATTGAGAATCCTGAGGTCATATCCTCTTTAATTTTTATAATGTCCATTTCCAATTTTTTAATAAATGTACCCTCTAAATGAAACTATTTTAGAGGCATATTTACAGCGTTTACAGCCTACAATGAATTCTGAATTAAATTGGCAAATTAAAAGCATGCTCTGCCTGGTAGTTTTGTCCCAACTTCACCCACTGACTGTGTTGGTCTTATTATTTATACCCCCAGAAACGCAAGCTTTGTTGCATTGTTAGGTAGCTCTCTATTGTAATATATAAGAGAGGAATTACTTTTTCAATTATTTGTGCTGTATGTCACAAATGTGCCCTCTGTACAGAAGCTCTTCTATTCAGTAAATGAAAATGGAGTCAACAGTGGAGGATCTAACAGTATGACTAAGTAAAACTGCAGCACTAGTGTGATTTTCAGAAGCTGGCTATGTAAGGTGTTTAGTCACTATAGAGTTAACAGTGCAGCTTTACTTTCTCTCTGTTCTACTTCTTCTTGTCAGCCTGTACTTACCAGCATTGCCTCAGTCAGTGCACGTTTTGACAATATAGTTGGCCACTGTTGTCTTTCTGTCTTCTCTCTTTCTCACTTCATCAGTGTCTCCACAAATCGTATTCCTCCTCTCTCTCCCTCACTTGCCCCATCCCATAACATCAATTTTTGTTTCTTGTTTCTTTTCCTCCTCACCCCATGCCTCTCTGTTATTTTCCCTTCCAGGCTTCGCCTTTTCCATTGCTACTCTTCTTACCCATATTTCCATCCATCTCACCCCTCCTTCCTCCGTCTGTCTCTCTTGATATACCGCAGACAGTGCTTGCCTGATGAGCCCCATGTCTTGAGAGCTTGTCAGCTGTGTCAGGTCTGTCCTCCTCCTCCGAACTACTCTCTGAAACTCACTAAGGACCTGAGGACTAGTGCTCGGTCCACTGCAGTGTGTGTAAGTGTGTCTGCCTGACACACATTATATTCATTATAGCTGTCCTCCAACTCACTCGACAGAATCGAAAGTGGTCTAATGAAGTCTTAATTTAGTAGCATGTACATAAAATTTTGACTGCCTGCCTGCCTGTAACTCTCATCATATCTGTCCTTCAGTCCACTATCTAGTTCACTATACAGGACAGCATCTGTTTGTTTGACAATGCGACTGGAGTCATGCAACTCACTCTCAACTGAAAAAATGCAGAAATGCACAGATTTGAGAATAACTGTAGTTAACCAACAGTTAAAAATAAGTTTTTCTCTTCCTGTAAGGTCTCATGTAGGCCAAACTTCATCCAGACTCTCAGACAAACACGTCTGAAAGTCAATTTAGTGTAATTTCTTTCACTGTCAACTCGCAATAAACCCCACCCATCTGCTGTTTCAGCTAGCCAAAAAAAAAGAATCATTTCCCATTCTTAGACAAAGAGACAAGCTCTGCAGCGCACGGGCAATTAAGCAGCTTCATTGGTGCCATCATTTCTTATACCATTTGATCTACCTGCCTGTGTGTCACTGTGGCTGTCACTACACATATTTTCTGCTAATTTCGCTCTTGTTAGACCATCCTTTGCTTCCTGTCTCCCCCCCCCTTGTCCCATCTGTACTCCTCCTCTCTATCTCATCAGGCATATTCTGTAGTTGGACGATTACACAGACTATCTCTGACAACTTGAAATGTGATAAATGACTCTGTCGCTGTCTGTGTCTCCCTCCTCCTAGATGTATATCCAAACCACCACCCTGACCATCTCTCTCAGCCTGTCGGCCTCTGTGTCTCTGGGGATGCTCTACATGCCCAAGGTCTACATCATCCTCTTCCACCCTGAGCAGAACGTACCCAAACGAAAACGCAGCTTCAAGGTGAGGTTATAGGTCATATTGTCCATATCTTAATCGGTTTGATTTGATCATTTTACTGATGTTAATGCGACATGAAATGAGGATAATAAATCTTAACAATACACAGTGTGGAATAACATTAAGCTAAGGAAATAAATCAGAACTTGTACCATGCTAACAGTCTTTATTTCCAATCAATGGATTTCTGATCAGGCAATCGTGACAGCTGCCACCATGTCGGGGAAACTGACCCAGAAGGGAGGAGACCGACCCAACGGAGAGGTTAAGACCGAACTATGTGAGAGCATGGAGACCAACAGTGAGTAAGAGAACACGAACGTTTTATAATTATACATATAATAAACTATATAAAACTATATCATCACACCCATTTTTATCACAGAAGCATAAAGCTTAAGTACATAGTGAAGAGATCAAGACTACAGTATACGAGAGCTTAAGTTTTAATAATATGTAATAATATTAAATCCAATATACATGTACAGTAGGTTATTTACAATACTTAACAGTTTTTACAATTAAAGAGACAACCTAAAAACATATAATATGCATTCACAATACCACACATACACATATAGAAAGGTTAAAACTGAATACAAGTGAAGAGAAAGCACAGGATTTATTATGATTACCATCATTTGTGTTACGTTGCATGTGTGCTCTGTGTGTGTGTGTGTGTGTGTGTGTGTGTGTGTGTGTGTGTGTGTGTGTGTGTGTGTGTGTGTGTGTGTGTGTGTGTGTGTGTGTGTATATATATACACATATATACATATATTTCATATATATATCTGGCAGATATATATCTGGTGCTGTGGTTGTGGTGCGGAGGTTGACTAAAAACTATGCATTTTCACATAATTTTCTACTATTATCATTTCAGTATTTATTTTAAAACTCCAGTAGTAGTTTTTTACATGAAGGGCATTAGCAGGACGAATGTCTCGAACTAAATATAGCTAAATGTGGATTCTAGAGCAGCAACAAAAACGCTTACAACACTCACTATATAAACTCAGTAATATCTCACTGAAAATAATTCTAAAATGTCAGTAAAATAAATAATATTCCTGACATCAAATACACAGACATCAGTCAGCATCAGTCCTTCCTCCTGTCCTGTCAGATTGGTTTCAAACCAAACAAGCTTGTTCCTGAATCACTTTAAGATTAACTAGCATGCCGTGGTTGTAACAACAACTGCAGAAAAAGCAGGTGGAATATCGCTTTTCTACATTTTCTACTTTGGCCTTTCTGCTGAGCCATCTGCTCTCTTGCTGTCTGTGTGTCTGTATGTTTGTATGGAGCTGAGCCCTGCCCTCTGGCCTGTAGAGGAGAGAGACAGAAAAGCTAGTGCAACCATAAATGACAGTGAAATGTGGTCCTCTCAGCATACTTTCTTTTCTTTTAATTTGGCCAAGGCGTTGTGACAAAACCCCAAAAAGCTGCGCCGTCTATATTACATTATGATTATTATGTTTGATGATTATATGGTTATTTTGGTGCCCCCACCATACTTAGTACAAACAAAACAAATATTTTCCCTTCTGTACATTTAGATATACAGTTCACATGCAGCTTTTTGCGTAAATTAAGCAAAAGTTTAATTTCAATTTAAAAATTAATTTCACGCCTGACTTTTTTTTTGCATGGCAAAACAGCTGCAACATTGACAGTTTTTAAATAGCATGGTGCGTTTTCTCCGAGCTTTGACAGTGAAGCACTGTGACATCCACTTCAAAGCTCTATTTTGTGTTGTGCCGGTTCTCCTGTGTCAGCAATCTGCAGATGAAATGACAGGACTGTGCGTGTGTGAATGTGCATAGTTAGCTGTGAGTGTGTATGTGTGCATGCATATTTTTGAGTCTCCATCAATGTAAATGGATTCGCTCGTGTGTGTGTGTTTCTCTCAATAGCTGCGTGTGTAAGTGGTGTTTGTACAAGTGTCATCTGTAATCTCATAAACACATGTATGTCTCAGCCTTGCTGTGCATGTGTTCCTGTGCAGCCTGTGAATACTGTAACTGGGCGTATAATAGGTTTCAGACCTGAGAAGGCAAACCATGTTTTCCTGTCAGCACTTTATTAGCATCAGTGAAGGAAGCAGGTCACAGTTCATTCATTTAGCCAATAGTTAAACTGCTTGGTCATCTCCTCATATGCTTCACTTTGCAAAAAGGTTGCAAATTAATAAGTACCATATGGTTCAAGCAACAAATAATTTAAAAGTGATGAGCAGAAAGCAAATTTAAGAATCTTTACTTTTTTGCTACATGACATTTTGTTTAAGAGTGCTCTTCAGAAAACATCAATTAAAAGATCTGGATGTTTTTCAGGTCTGCATGCACTATATCAAGGACCTTTTCCCATTATCCGAGCAGTATGATGGTGAAACAAGTGAACGGCCAAAAAAAATAACAATAAAAGAGTTGTATGAAAGCATCAGAGTATAACAATGGCGCAGTTAGAGGCCTGTGGTTGCTGCAAAAACATTGACATTTACCATGGAACGCTTGAGGGGACACAAGACATAATGGGTTTGACAAAAAGCCCCAACAACTCAGGTGGACTGTAGATGTGACACTGTTACGTGACCATCTGTAGCAAAATCTGCTCTCAACTGCTCTTTCTTCTCTCCTGCTTCCTTTCCTCTTCCCATTCCATTCCACCCCACCAATCTGTCTCTTCTCTTTCATTCAATCTTTCCCCTTTCCGCTCTTTTTTTCTAATTTTTGTTTAATTTTCCTATCCCTTGCACCTCACACCACCTTCCTTCCACCTTCCACCCTTTCCGTATTCACGCAGCTTCATCAACTAAGACGACATATGTCAGCTACAGCAATCATGCCATTTGAAGGGACCACAGAAGATGAAGGAAGGGATTGGACAGGAGAGGGGGGCGTATCTCGGGGCAGTGCCAAGTGAAGGAAGGAGCCGTCGTTCTTAGCCGATTGGCCGAAGAATTAGCGGACGGACAGATCGCCCAATGGAATCCAAGCATGAGACATTTTGTATTGTTCCACATCAAACCACAGACAGGTGGGACCACATAAACAGCCAGTCAGTGTGCCTGCTTTCCCGCTGCTCACAGCTCATTGGTCCTACCATGAACTTACCTGTTTTAAAAAAAAAAAAGACACAACATGAAAAAAGTGACGTACCATAGGACACTGTGGTGGACAGAGTAACTATTAAAACCTACAAAAAAAAATAAAAATAAAACAAACAAAAAAGAATCATGAAAAGAAAAAAAAAAACTCTCAGAAACAATGTAGACATTATATCTAAAAGGGCAAAAGGTGGGGCCGGGAAGAGATTTAACAGAATACATTTTAAAAGATATTTAAAAAGAGAAATGTAAGAGAAAATCTATGAGACTCAAACATGTTTGTTGTTATTCTCTACTTGTAAGTATTTTTGTGGTTGTGACGATTTTTTCATTCTTGTCTCACCGTTGTCTGATGGATCGCCCTTGCTTAATGAGATGAGTGTGTTTCCTCCTGCTGTCTTGGCTAACCGGGTTGTAGCCTTGGGTTGTGAACCTGTAAAATGCCATGGTTGAAGCATGCCAGTTTTTATACAAAAAGGAGATTTATTTATAATAAAGGAATGTTTTGCAAATGTGTAGATTGGTGGTCGTTTGTACGTTTATAGTTTTGAGGGTGACTCGGTCTTAAATGGTCTGTAGGAGAATTGATGGATGACAAAAGGTTTTAGTGACAGATTATGGCAATACATCATCCATTCAAACGTCAGCATTGCTTCACATATAAATCAATATCGTATCATGCTTATTATATGTAGATGTAGATACAATACTTGGTTGATTAGTGATCATGCTTGCATAAAGTTAGTGTGATTTTAATAATTGTAGTGTGGCTGTCCTACTTAAATATGTCAGCTGCTGCATAGATTGCCATAAAATTGTGTTTCCATGGACCTCAGAGGAGGAATGCTAATTACTTTGGTGATCCCCTGAGTTTTCCTCTAGTGCTACCATGAGGTTGATGTGTGGTTTTGAGTGAAGTGGCTTGACAGCTACTGGATGGATTACCATTCAATTTGATACATCCTGTATATTCATGTCCCTCTCAGGAACAATAACTTTGGGGATCCCCTGACTCCAATAGTTTTGTTTATGACTAAATACTTAAACTAACTAAAACTAATGACATTCCCATTAGCTTTAGCTGTACTTTGTGTTTAGTGGTTAAGTTAATGTTGGCATGCAGAAATGCTCAGCTAAGATGGTAACCATTAATTAAATAGCATGGTTGCATTGTCATTAACTTTAGCTCAAAGCAGCACTCCTAGCACGGCTTTAGAATAGTCCGCTTTCAACATTGTTCTTAGCACTGTAATAAAACCAAAGCACAGCTGAGCATAAAAAAACAAGTGCTTTGAAATCTAATCTTTGACTATTTAGAAATTATTTATTGTTAAGAATAACACACCTTTACCATCTCACCCCAAGCAGAACATGAGAATGGATCATTCATTCATATATTGTAGAAAAGTATGAAAGTATTAATGTCAGTTATAGCATTCATTTGTTTATAAAATAATAAAGTTATACAGTTGTTATTATGGGACAAGTGATCTGTAACACTGCTTCTCAAACTGTGTGGGGACCGTGGATGACCAGGGGAAACATAAGGAGTGAAAGTAAGTCGAAGGAATGGGATTTATGTAGGGAAAATAACAAACAAGTGTTCCCTGATGCTGACCTTTATTTCACTAAAATTGAACTTTAAGCAACTTTAAATCCTTAATCAATCTTTCTTAGCTATAACATTAGACACTGCAGGAACAGAAGAAATAGCTGTAAGTGTCTCACTTGACAGTTAGAGGAGAAAGATAGCATAAACTGCTTTAAATAATGAGGGTAATTGAAATGTATACATTTAGAAATAAACTGCAGACAGTGTTGCTTTCTTCTTTTAAGAGTTTCACATATAATACAATATGTATTTATGAAAGGATGGCCAAGATCAAATCTGCATAGTCTATTATAAAATATATTGAGTCGAAGAAGATTACCTTTGGGCGCAGCCTGCTGTATAACATCAGCATAATCCAATATTGGTAAAATGAGTTGTAGCACAAGCTTATTTCTAACAGTAAATGAAACACAGTTTTTGGAATGGTAAAGAAAACAATACCAAAGTTTATTCCCAATATGATTTAATATTGAAAAATGAAAGTTCAGAGTCAAGCCATAGGCCCAGGTATTTGGTGTTTTCAACTCTTTGCAGTGGCGTACCATTAAGATGGGCAATAACACATGAATAAGCTTAAGAT